CCCAGGCAGTTCCGATGCGTAATCTGCTATTTCTCCCGAATATCACGTAAAGCAGTGAGAACTGTTAATTTTTCAGTTAATTTTCCTGGTAAAATAAAGTTTAAATAAATGACATAAATGCTCTAATAGTACATGTAAGTTAGTGGTTTATTTATTGTTAGTTACTGTAATGTTGCGCTGCTTTATTTGGTTAATTGTCCAGTCTGTGATGAAGGCATTCAAGTAAGAATTGCATTTCCTGGTGCGTACAATTCATATTAGGTCAGTTTTCACGGTTTAACTTCTGATATTCAGGTCAAGTTCTAGGTCAAACTGGTTTGTTTTCAAGAAATTCGAGTTCTAGTGAGTTTGAGAACCGAGGTACCACTGTATTCATGATTTTGGATAATAATGGCTACCAATCTGTTAAAAATCAATTTTGTTCCCGTCAGCTGCTAAATATAGGCATGAATATGGAGCTCTGATCCAAGGTTTTCCCATGGAACGTTCCAGCTGACCAGTGTCAATGCTGGCCCGTGGCTTGGATTATTTTTTCAAACATGCATTTACAGCCAGATTTACAAAAGAAACATGTGTTGTTTTCCCCTTAGAACTGGTATTTCCACTGAAACAGAGATCTTTTCACACTTAAAGAGATGTAATGCATTTTACACCCTGGAGAGACCTAGAGCCAGCCTGTGGGTGGAGTAAGGACATTTTAAATGTAATAGATGCGAAGGCAGCTTTCTTACAATGGATGGCAACAGGAAAATGTCCTCATTTTTTTTCTCTTTGGTGCACCTGCTCTGTATTGTGAGGAGAAGCAGTGAAAGATTAAATGGGGGGCAGTGAAAATGGAGACTTTTTGTTAATCAGTTCAGTGCAGTTAAGTTGGTTTGAATGTGTTCCTTAGTAAGGTTTGTCCTTTTCATCTGACTTAACCCTACACAGGCCCCTTGCTCTTTCTGTCAGGGGAACACTGCCCCTCCTTAGGGTATATGTATCTTGGCCACTCCCACAATAATATTATCCCCGTTTCCCATGCGTTCCGTCCCTCATACATACCCTGCGGGTGAGTACACTGCATTTCTGTCCGTCTTGCCCTGCCCCAGATATTCCTTAGTGTTTCTCCACCAATCATGTCCCAAATAGCCTTGTGTCATGTGACCTCGCTTAGACCTCCTGACAGTCCTCCTCATGGGTTGCCTGACACTGGATGTCACTGAGGTTAAATGATACCTGCTAGACTTCAGTAGACGTGAAATACGTTCCCTTATCCTGATATGTTGTGTTTTTAGATGATTAGATTAAAAAATAAATAAATGTGATATGAGAATTGCAAAACCTTGTTCATCATTCCTGATGGTTGATTTGAATGAAATTGCCCCCCACCCCATAACAATTACCTCATCGTGATGAGCAGTAAATGAGGGCTTTTGTCTATTGTACTCAGAAGCAAACAATAGCTATTGTGCAACCAAATCAAATTACGGTCCCTGAAGCTTTGTGTGTTCTGCCCCTCTAACCTCAGTGTCTGGTTTCTCCACTGAGGTATGTACCTGACTGAGCCATTCACCTACGTGGGGCCTATTTTGGGAAAACCTTTGGGGTTTGAGGGTTCAGCAGGAGTCCCAAAGATCACGCTCATATCACTGGAAGGGTTGGCCAAGGAACCTTGCAGTACCGGGAACATGTGCATGATCTGCCAGTCATTTCTGGGAGTGTCATGGGTTGTTTGGTGCACCATGAATAATTACCCAGGCTGCCTTTAATTCTAGGCTCTGAGGCAACACTTTGGTCTTAAAGCAGGGAAGCTGACACTTAAAAACAGATGTATATGTACTATTATCCAGTGTAGCCCAAGCAGTTCGTTACCTCAGCACCAACACACACACACACACACACACACACACACAACCACCACACAGCTTTGTAATTATATCTTTGTGGGGACTGTCCATTCATTTCTCGAAAACTGTAATCCTAACCTAACAACCTTAACCCCTACCCAGCCTTAACCTTAACCATAAGTAACCAAACAAAATACGAGACTTTTGGCATTGATTGCAGTCACAAATGGAAAATGGTGCCCACAATGTCAAAATAACTGTTTTTATCAGATTGTGGGGGACACGCGGTCCCCACAATTTAATATACACCTAATCCATGTGCACAAAACCACACACAAAGACATGCACATGCACACACGGGCGTACACACACACACACACACACACACACAACCACCACACAGCTTTGTAATTATATCTTTGTGGGGACTGTCCATTCATTTCTCTGTGGAAAACTGTAATCCTAACCTAACAACCTTAACCCCTACCCAGCCTTAACCTTAACCATAAGTAACCAAACAAAATACGAGACTTTTGGCATTTTTAGTTTCTTGATTGCAGTCACAAATGGAAAATGGTGCCCACAATGTCAAAATAACTGTTTTTATCAGATTGCGGGGGACATGCGGTCCCCACAATTTAATATACACCTAATCCATGTGCACAAAACCACACACAAAGACATGCACATGCACACACGGGCGTACACACACACACACACACACAGACATTTGTGTGATAATCAGAGGGACCTTGTTCCTTCTATTTAGTTTTCCTAGTTTTCCACATGTGCTTTGAGATAATTAAATAGGAAACTGTCAGCTTTAGCTTAATTGGTGTAAACCTCTGAGGAACAGATGGTGTTTCAGCAGAGAATGAGAGATGGTGTTTATCTCCCAAACAGAGCCTTCTTACAAAGAATTAGCTTCCGTAAACTGGCAAAAGATCTTGAGGTTGAATTGAGGAAGAATTAATCTAGACTACTCCTCCAATCCATTTAATTTGAATTTTTGTGTAACAGTCCGAAATAATCCTGCATCTACTACTGAACTGAACCAAAAATTATATCTTCATTCTTCTGCGGCCTTGTCTCTTCATCTGTACCCGGAAAGTTCAGATTCTCAACTGAGTTAGTGTGTTTCAAGGTTGTAGATTATCCTATTCATAAGTGGACTGCAGGACTGAGATGCTAGTAGGTTTGTGTGATTCTTGCTGTGGCTTTTGTTACAGCTGATCAGCTAAATGTGGTTTGTAGGGCTTTGTTGAATAAGGCAGAAATCTGTTACCAATCAGTTCCCATAATGATGCTATTTAGGGATTAACAAAAGTGTGGGTTACTGTGTATTCAGAGGCTTAACTCCAGCTGTTTAATCGCTCCTCTCTCTCTCTCTCTCTCTCTCTCTCTCTCTCTCTCTCTCTCTGTGGCAGCTGAAAATGAGAAGACTGACACCTCTCAGGATGGTGTCCACGATGGAAAGAAAGTGCCCCCCAAAACACCCCCCACTGTCCACCCACGGAAGGACCGGCCAAGGGACACTGGCTGCACCATGGCTACCAGCCCCACCCTACTGGCTGCCACCGCGTTCCTGCTGGGGCTGCAGTGGTATTTTATGTGATGGTGACCCCCCCCCCCCCCCCCCAGAGCATGTCTCATTCAAGCTTGCTCTTCCTCAAGCATCCACAAGTGGCGCTACTGCGGGAACTGAGAGAGAGGGAGGGGGGGTCGGAGGCAGGTCGGAGGGAGGGAGAGGGTGTGGGGTGGAGGTAGTACCCCCGTGGGTCGGACGCCGGGTCGCCCTGAGGCATGGACCGCGAGGCGGACTCTTTCTTTTGCATCCTGTTAGACATCAAGGTCTCCCTTCCTCAGGCAAGCTTGACGCCTTCTTCTGTTTGCTCTTAAGCTCCTTTACATAAATTCCTTGTTGTGACGTGCTTTTAGGTACACATGCACAAATACACACACACAATGCAAAACAACCTTACTGCTCCACATTAGCGGTGCCTTATTCTCAAACATTTCCAAGTTACATGCACACACAGACACGATTTGCACATTTGCGTGAGGTAACTCTCAGTCAGGCAGAGGGGCCCATTCATTATTACCGGCTCCAAGTTCCTCAAGGTAATTCCTTGTTCCAGCCACTGGGGGTTGGTTGTTTTTCGAAGCCACTCAGTATAAAGCTTAATAAATATTGAAGCATTATTTGGTTCCCCGTTACTCCTGCTCTCGCTGCGAAGCCGCTTACTGTTAAAGCTTTAATATCCAGCTTTCCCCAAAGCCAGGAAGGTGGTTAGCAATCTGAGCTTAGGGAGAGGAAAGACACCCTTTCCCGCCTTGCTGTCAAAGTCCAAGCGCACAAAGTGACCCTGCACACCTTCTTTGAAGGCTGGCATCACGCTGCTCTCTACTTCTCTTCTGCGCGTTTCTTTTGTACAGAATTAAATGTTTATTACTTACAGCTAAACAGTGTCGTAGCACCCGAGGCTAAAACGGGAACCAAGGAATTCAGTCAATTTTAACTTCCTGATTGTTGACTTTTTAGCAAATGCAGAATTCAAGATGGCTGACAGCGGCAGGCAGTTCAGGAAGGTAATGACCCGTGTGCACTCCAGAGCCGTCTTATACTTAACTCAGCCCTTCCAAAGCACTCTGGAAGGTAGTGTGGGACACCAAGTGTGATGTCAAAGATATATCATAACATGATTAGTCATATAATCCAACAGGCAGGATTTAACAGTCATGGACCTTGAGGATGCAGTGTTTCTGTGTTTATTGTTACATGTTAATTTTTCTTAAGAAAAAAAACGTATCCTCTTCAGACCTGTAAGCGTTTGATTAATGTGTTTTAGTTGTTAGTTGTTATTTCCTCTCTTGTAAATTGCACAGAAGCTTGCTAATATAATTGCTGTTATTTTTTTCTCTCTTATGGATGGAGGGGGTTTGGGTGGAGCAGGGGAATGGACTGGTAACTGCTTCCTGTTTCGGGAACCTGAGAATGCTCCAGTAGAGTTTGGGTTCAGCCATTACCAATGAGCAATCGTTACAGCTGTATCATCAGTAAATCCCTTAATGCGTAACTAAATACTGTGAACCAACCTTCTAATCATTTAATTGGATTTTAACTCACATTTCCCCTTTAGCCAATTATATTGCAGCAAAGTTGTAAATAGCACCCAACTATATAATTATCAATTGATTGTTTCATGGATCTGGAATGTTTGTCATACCTTGCATTTATAACAGTAAAGCAAAACTATTATTAGTAGTGATTTTGAATTGTATTTGTACTGGTTTTGACAGCGGTGGTGAACTTTTCTGCCAACTAGACCATCTTAAGCAAGAGAAATATGTTCTGATATAGTTTTGTACATGTTTATGCGTCACTGTAAACCCAGATTAATCTTACTTGCTGCCTGAGAATTACAGAAAAGTATAATAGGGCTTATGTTGTCTAATATGCATATTTTTATATTTGTGAATATTTGTGTGCCTTATGTGTGCATGTGTTTTTTAATGCAATGCTTTTTGGATGTTTTTGTTTGGTGTCTGGCCTGTGAAATTGAACAAAGGAAATGCGTGAATGGTTGGTCTAACCAGTGGGGAAGAGGTGGGGGTGGCATACCTGTGAAGGTATCTGTATGTCTTTGGGTAGGTGTACATTTCGAATATGCTTGGGTGGGGAGTGTGTGTATGTAACCCCTTCAACTACACTTAACACTGTTTACAGAAACAGTTTTCCCTCTCTGGAAAAACTCCGATTCAGCTATCTTGTCGGACTGAGAGTCACTATAGTCGGCCCTGTTCTTCCTGCCAGCGTGGCTCTGCCTAGAACAAGCCTGTTACACTGTTGTAATCCATCACAGAAGCCCCACCCCAGCTCTACGTTTCGAGTGGCCGGCGGGTCTGAAGCCCTCTCTAAGCTCAAAGCTCTTTCTGTCTGAAGCACCCATAAACTATGCACGTCCTTTTTTCCCACTTGTATTTTTAAGCACAGAGATGAAATTCTCAGACTTGTGCGAAATGAGCTTTTGCAGATCGCTAGCGACATTCAGCCTTTTTTTATTTACTCAGACAAGAGAGGAACCTCGAGGCTCTGAAAACTAAGTGTCATCATGTATCAGCAGAGAATGGGACTTGGTCTACAAATGGTTTAGCCATCTGTGGGGGGAAATGACACCTGGAGATCTTCAGTAACTGATGCAGGATGGGCATGCAGTAAGTAAAGGGGAGGGTCAGTGATTAAAGGGGTGAGCCATTGGGACTTGACTGACAGGAATGAAGCCATGTGACAAGAGGAAAGGCTACCAGAGTACTGCGGCTAACCTGTACTGCATTTCCCAGATGTCCCCTGCTCTTTGTTCATTGGTGTGTTGAATGGGGGAGGGGTGGCAATGTTTGTAACATTAACCAATAGCAAAAGGTCTCCTCTCAGCTTGGTGTATGAAGCATTTATTTATACTGACATTTCAATAAATGTACAAGAACCTGCCGGGCAATTTAGTGTAATCTTTGTCTTTTCTTTTTAATAACACTTAGAAGTTCTCCATTTCTGTTCCCATGACTTCTGCATGTTATGATACCCTTAGGCCTCGTAAACTGTCGAGTCAGAATTTATTAATACAATTCAGTGATATTGGTTTATCGACTTCCACGTTCTCAACAAAGGAAAAATCACACAAAGATTCTACCGATCAGCCTCAGAATATGTAAAATCGTAATATGCAGGGTCTGTTGGTGGGGGGTTGTGGTAAGATTCACTTGCCACTTTTGCCAAAATGATTGAAAGAACCCCCTCCCCCCCAGGTCCAGCACTTGCGCCCCCCCCTCCAAAAAAAGTTTCTGCAGGGCCCTGGCAATATCCATCTACACTTGTGCACGACACAATTTTCAGATGATGATTGATAAGGACGGGTGGGCTGCCTCACATCTCCAGGGTCGGAGCTCTGAATTTCACCTCTGCTCAGTGAAGAGTCTGTGTGCTCCCCTCTGGTCGTGTGGGTTACCTCTGGGTGCTCTGGTTTCCTTCCGTGGTCCCAGGACACACACTGGGCTAACTGGCATCTCTAAATGGCCCAGTAGTGTATGATTGTGCGTGTGTCGGGTGCGTGTATGTGCCCTGTGCCCTGACTGGCATCCAGACTCCAGGCTCTCCCACAACCCTGATCATGATGGAAGAGGGAGGTCAGAAGGTCCGCACTTCAAATCCTGCGGTTGGTGGACTGATGTTATCATTGGGCCCTTGAGCAAAACCCTAAATCCCAATCACTGCAGGGACGTCCTGCTCTCTGATCCTGCCTTGTATGTTGCTTTGGACACTAGTTAGATAAATGTAAATGCATTCAGCCAGTGTCGCCTCTGACCTTTTACTCATAATCTCTGATCCTTGTCCTCAAGCAGAATCCCAGTGAAGAAATTCTTCCACTATGACTCCCTGCCCCCAACCAGGCTCATCTACACTGCTTTCACTGGCTAGAAAATCTGTAAATCAGCTGCAGGGGCGTTGGACCGATCCAGTCGGGGGGAGCTAGCGCGTAGGCGCGTATCATCCCTCACAAACACGTCAGCATAATGCTACCGAACGTCTCACTGTACAGTACACTCACTGTGATCAGTGCAGAGTACAGCAGACGTAGACAGGTCTTTGTACTGTAACAAAACATAAATTTGCATTAATAAAAAGGCACCAGTGCAACTCTGTCATAATACACACAATAGCCACCAATAAACATTATTTATTGATGTGTGTTATTAATATTCCGAAGAAGGCACTCCACTGAGACTGGAGTGTTCCTGTCAACTTGTTTTTTCAAGCTATTCTTTTCCATTGTTTATTTTCTGCAGTTAGCAATGTGTCTCACTGTGTTGTTTTGAAAGTCACATTTAGGCGTGCCTGTAGTGTTTTATCAATTTAACTTTGCTGTCATGTCTTCATTAAATGTTTGCGGGATAACCCACAACTACTAAGACATGTTACACAGGGGGTTGGAATTGATGTCACAAGCACGGTTTTAACGGCAGAAAAGCAGACAAAAACAGCTCTCCAAAGATCACTCCCTCCACAACGAGAACCTGTTTTATGTCAATCACACCTATTAAATGATCACAGGTGAACGGTAATTAATCATTAACTAATCAGCTGTCAATTGACAATGAGCAGCCTGCAGGGGAGTAATGACCTCAGCCCACCTTGGCTCACACCCCCTGTTTTTAACGGACCATGGATAAGTCTATAATTATCAAGCTTGGTAGTTACAGTGGAAAGATCTGCTGTACTGTGCCACTGACAGAGTTGCTCTCTATATTTCCTGGGACTTGGCCTAAATCCACGGACTTCTGGACTTGTTCCCCCTCAGTGGCTGCTAGATTGGCCTCCACAAAAAGGCACTGGAGCGGCGTGCAGCCCAAACGGAATGCCGAGGCATTCCTCCCCCGGCGTCCGCTCGCACTCTTGCCAGATTTAGCTTTGCCTACCTGTGAATAGACTCATCCATCTGCCAGGCTCCTGGACAACAAGGCCAGCCCTTCAGCCAATGGGACAGGCCAGTCCAGGAGACAAGGGCTGCTGGCAGGCCCGCCTGCAGACGCAGCCAGCAGGACTGAGAATAAAGCTAACAGAGTAACGTCTGTGTGAAGGTGATTAGGAGCACAGTATGCTATTCATCCCTCTGCACAAAACAAAGCCCCAATCCAAACCACTGGCTTCCTTGCAGACACCTCATTCCCTCTGCTCATAGACTGTTACACCTGTCTAGAATTTAAAAACCAGTTCTATGACCGGTACACAAATTACACATGCTCAGACTCCAGACCAGTAATGAAAAATTGAGTTCTTTCCTTAACACAGACGTTACTCTGTTAGCTTTATTCTCGGTCCTGCTGGCTAAGTTTGCAGGCGGGGCGATGGTGGCACTGGAGGTAGTGCTTTTGTTCGGCAACCAGAGGGTTGTAGGTTCGAGCCTTGGTTCTTCCTGACCCCATCAAAGTGTCCTTAAGCAAGACACTGAACCCCAAATTACTCCCAGTGAGCAGGTTGGTGCCTTGTGTGGCAGCCTCTGCCGTGGGTGCGTGAATGTGAGGCAAAAATTGTAAAGCGCTTTGAGTGCTTGTAGAAGTAGGAAATGCACAATATAAATGCAATTCATTTACCATAATTTTTCCATCGTTAGCTTCAAAGGCCAATAGCCATGTTTAAAAACGCAGGAAACAGGTTTTTCACGTTCCCTCCTGGACCTTCCATTTCTGGAAAAAGAGATTAAGAATCAATAAGTTCAGTAAACCACTTCTATAGTCAGGGAAAAGTGAGACATTTTACTGCACATTACTTTTTCTCGGGTTAAATTAATTTCATCCATTCTTTAATAATTTTAACTAACACAAAAAAGAGGGTGGGAATTTCCCACCAAATAAGGAGCCTTGATATATAACACTAAGAGATAAGGACCCGAGAGGCTGTGTGTTGACATTAAGGCCTAGAACCCCCACAAAGGTTATATTACTGTAACTACAGTCACCTCAACTCATAGACACACATTTCTTCTATCAGAAGGTAAATTTCTTTTGGTTACTTTATAATCCCTTTATTATATTGGCAATAATTACTTTCTCAGAAGACTTTATATTTAGAATTTCTTCGACATCTATTATGAAAAATTGCTTCCTGAGGGACACTCAGAGGCATAAACTGGGGACTTTATTGCAACGCTTTAAAGTTAACAGACTTGGAGAGTGCAGCAATTAAAGCTGCCATTTTGGTTTTAGTGAAGGGCCAACAGACATGGAAAAACTGAGAAATGAAAAATAAAGACTCTATTCTCGTTCTTGTGACCTTCACAAATATCTTCGCTACCTTGAGAAAACCCTGCATTGTATCATTAGCAATTAGTGATTGATTTCAGGCAAGTGGGGGAACTTGTTCCCAGACTTTGCCCCTCCCCCTGCCTAAAACCTGAGCTCTGCACATGCCTGAAATGTCAGCCTGAGCCCAGGCCCGCCCCAACTCGAGTCCGGATATTAACGACAGAGCCCAACTTAAATCTGACTCCCGCTTCACAATATGATATTACGTATGCGCAAATACCGAAACAGACATATTATAAACCCACGGGCATGCTGCGTCACACACAAATGTAATATTTCCGAAGCATAACTAGGTCATTAGCGTCTTGTCCTCCTTATGACATGTTGGCCTATAGGCATGGCACATATAACCAAGCTCCTGTTAGTTTTATTAAATCAGGATGTACTTGGCACTTGTTAAGACTGAATTGCTTCCACAAGTCAGATTTCCCCAAGTTGTTCTTACCTTTATTCTTTATTTCGCTAGCCATTAACATACGCTGACACTTGCGTGAAGTGAACTCCACCTATTGTGGTGTCCATCTTAGCACAACAAGCACAAAATAAAGTCATGACACTACAATGAGGTGCAGCCCGTCCCAAACCCAATCTGATGCATGAAAAAGTCCAGAGTCTGGCCTGGCTTGGGCCCCGTCGGGCTTGCAGAACTGTAGTAAACACCTCACAAACACCCACCTGAAAATACATTATAACTAAATATAAGTATGTTTGTGTAAAACCTAGCCATGAGCAATACAGAGAAACACCCTGTGGCCTGTCATTAAAGCAGCCTTCTATGAGGAATATAATATACATTATAATCACTTTAAATCCTAGTAGAAGCTGCAGTGATTCCCCATGTTATTAAATGAAAACACAGCGTGACGTGGCAGCTCTTGTGGCAGACAGGCTGTACCTGCAAATGACCTTTTTGCCGACGGATGGCTGACAGGTGAAGCAGGTGAGGTAGGCAAGGGGCTCCCCCGGCTGCCTCGGGTCTCTGGCAACACGGCTGTCACGCCAAGACCGTGACCGGAAGATCATCGGGACTCTCTCATCCTTGTGCCAAGTAATAATTGCTGCGATTGCCAAGTTCCAGTGCGCTCCAGTGCACCAACGGGCCTCTCAAAATAGCCAGGGCTGACTCACTCACTCAGAAAAATAAAGATCTGTATGAGCTCTTGTAGGAATGTTGATGTTGTCATGTCAAAAAGGCGATCCTCTCCAGGGGAAACAAAACATACTGAATCTCTCTCTACCGCTGAAGAATTTTCCCCGTCAGATTGAACAGAAGGACAAAATGTATCATTTCTTGTTATTGCTGTAAATTAGTGACAGTTATGCAGTGATTGTTATTGCTCAGGGCCAGTGCTGAAGGAACTGGTGCTGGAGGTAAATTCACATACTTTTCACTTTTTTTGATTTCTAAAGAGCCACAGAAAAGATATTAATCATGCATGCTTTCACAATTCAATGGAGTCATTCTCATATTCTCTTCTGGAATCTGGAAACAGTGATGAAATATTGAAGAGAAGAGCATGAGTTAAAATGCAAAAAAGCTAAATGTCTTTAGCCAGAAATAAAAGAATTTGGAACAACTGTCTTTTTTTTGTAGTTATATGGATCTTTGAGGGGGGGGTGCAATGGTCTAGGGCAGAGT